AAGCTTTGACAAGCTCTTTAAATACAAAGGGTTGAGTTACCATTCCCCACTGTTATACACACCATAGTTTAACAACTGACAGATTGAGTTTAAGAAAAATAACTCATTTACATTTTAGAAGTACATAATTCCTCTCATTCAGCCTAGCTTCAAAACCATGATTTGATAGCCTGCTAATAAAACGGTCATTAAAAGGATAAAAGTTCATGTAACACATTTTCCATCATTGTAATCATCATTTTCATCATCTCCCATATTTAAAATCAAAGAACTATAGAGCTTAAACAGGACAGTGATGTATAATATTTGACTGAAAAAATGCCTGTGCCATTGCAGTTTAACCAATTCAGCTGATGAAGCATTTCATTTCAGCAGACAAACAGTTATAGCAGCACATACCACTGTTAAAGGAACACTCTATTTTGTTTGGGAATCGACTCATTTTGCAAGTCCACTAGCTAAAGAGAGGTGTTTTACCATTTTGAATGCTTTCAAACAATATATGGATCTAGCAGGAGCACTTTTAGCTTAGCATAAATAATTGAATCGGATTAAACCAGGGGTGTCAGACTCAGTTACTGAAGAGCCGCAGACCTGCAGAGTTTAGTTCCTGTAGGTATCAAACAAGCCTGAAGCACTCAATTCGTTTGATCAGGCGTGTTTAATTAGGGTTGGAACTAAACTGTGCAGAGATGTGACCCTCAAGGAACTGAGTTTGATAACTGTGGATTAGACAATTAATATCTCTAAAAAAAAAGTTTAGGTTATTTTCCTATTTAAAGCTTAACTCTTCTGTAGCTACAACATGTACTATAACTGACTGAAAATGAGAAGTTGCTCTTTTCTATTGCTATTATCTATAGTCTTAGTTTTTAATTGCCACAGCCATTTCACCCTGCAGCCCAAGACCGGTTACTCACTGCAGCTAAGCAGGGCTGAGACAGGTCAGTACCAGGTTGCTGTTGGAAGTGGTGTTAAGGAGGCCAGCAGGGGGCGGTCAACCTGCAGTCTGTGTGAGTCCTAATGCCCCAGTAAAAAGTAAAGGGGACATTATACTGTCAGTGGGCGTCCTCTTTCGGATGAGGTGCTAAACCGAGGTCCTGATTCTCTGTGGTCATTAAAAATCCCATGGCAATTATAGTAAAAAGCAGAGGTGTAACTCTGGTGTCCTGGCCAAAGTTCCTTAATCGGCAAATCATTAAACCTCCCAATCATCCCCATCCACCGGATTGGCTCTATCACTATCTCTCCACTCCCCCAATAGCTGATGTGTGGTAATCGTACTGGCGCCATTGTCTTGTGGCTGCCGTCGCATCATCCAAGTGGATGCTGCAGACTGGTTGTGGTGTGGAGAACCCCCCCACCCCCCCACCCCATCATGGTTGTGAAGCGATTTGGGTGTATGGCTATACACAATAAATGTGCTATGTAGATGCATATTACATTACTCTCAACCTGGAATAATAAAGGAACTTGGCTGCCATGCCATGCCATGCCCTGCAGCATTCGCAATGTTATGCACAGTGTCTGAAATAGTCAACCGCTAGGTAGCAGTGCTGCCTAATATCATTAATGCTAAGCTAAAAGTGCACTCTTAGACCTGAAGATCGCTGAATGAATTAGAAAATGGCAAAACTCAGATGTTTAACTCTAGCCACTCTAACAAAGTGGAGTGTTCCTTTAAGACATGGGTCTCAAACTCGATTCCTGGAGGACCGCAGCTCTGCAGTTTTTCTCCAACTCTAAACAAACACAGCTGGACCAACTAATCAAGGTGTTCAAGACTACTAGAAACTATTAAGCAGGTGTGGGTTAAAGGTGGTTGGAGATAAAATCTTGAGCTGTGGCCCTACAGGAATTGAGTTTGAGACCATTGTTTTCAGCAAAGGGTGCCATGGTCCTGGAGGGCCGCTGTCCTGGAGAGTTTAGCTTCAACCATAATCAAACACACCTGAAACAGCTAATCAAGCTCTTACTGGATACACTAGAAACTTACTGACTGGTGTGTTAAGGAAAGTTGGTGCTAAACTCAGCAGGACACCGGCCCTTCAGGACAAAATTTGACCACCCCTGCTTTAAGACTTTAATTTTATCTCTAAACTCTTCAATTGCAATTGTATACAATTTCTGTACAATCTAAACTGATTATAGTCAGGAAACATTTTCTTCCATAAAATAAAGCTTGATGTAATTATTTTGTTGGCGGACCTGATGACTGATGGAAACCATCGATGCTAGCGATAACAGACTCAAGAATTGGTTTAATCTTCTGCTGATCACTGTCTTCTCCCGAGTTATCAGCCTGCTTCTCCTCCTCCTCCTCTTCGTCACTGGAGGAAGACTCTTCCTTGGTTTTAGCCTTTTCTCTCTGTGACCTTCGCTTGCGCTCGAACGACCTTTTAGGGCCTTTCTTGACCTCTTTACTGCCTTCATCCTCATCCTTTTTGGTGCTTTTGGATTTTTTTTTCCCACTATCAACCTTGGACAGTTTTTTTATCTCCTTCTCAAGATCAGAGTTGTGGTTTGAAGAATCGGATTCCTTGCCCTTCTTCTTTTTGGCGCTTCTTTTCTTTGCTGCTGAAGGCTTTTCACTATCATCTGATTCTGAGGAGCCCTCCTCAAGTTTGCGCTTTGTCTTCGGTTTTGCAGTAGAGCGGGAAGATAACCTTCGCTTTTTGGTACGCTTGGGAGAAGTGTTTTCGGGTTCACTCTCATCGGAGCTGTCCTTCAAAGCAGCACTCTGCAGAACTTCTGGGACTTCATCAGAGTCTGAATCACTCTGTTCCTTGACAGCGTCACTGCTCTTTTCATCTGCCTTTGACATATTTAGTTTACGCTTGCTCTTCGCCTCTGGTGACTTGCGCAAAGGTGTGGTCTTCATCCTCGGAGAGCGTCTGCTATCTTGACCATCCTTCAACGCCTCACCATCCATGTCTTCTGACGGTGACTGTTCCCTGCTCTTATCTCGTTTTATGGTAATTTTAAGAGGAACGGGTGTTAGCTTGACAACTAGTTTTTTACCCAGTTTTGTGAGGCTCTTCTTGGATTCCACAACCTCAGTGTTGGATTTGTTATCACTAGAATCAGTCAAGTTGTCATCATTGTTTTCTTTCTTTACTGCAAGACTCTCTACCATCTCGAAGAGTTCCTCTGGGACAGAAGGTGGAATAGACACAATGTCTTTATCAAGAGATTCTTCAGCAGGTGGTACGGAGCCTTCTTCAAAGTTGTCCGCTATTTCCTGCTCTTTAGCTTCATTCTCTTTCTCTCCGTTCTCTTTCTCTTCGTTCTCTTTCTCTTCAGACCTTTCTTCAGATTGCTCCTGTGCTTTTTCTGGTGAGTGTGGAGGGCTTTCCATCTCAACATCAGCCAAGTTACTGTCCTGCTGGGTTTCCTCTTCTCCCACAGGATTATGGTTCTTGGTGGAGCAATCCAAGTCATCTTCCTTGACAGGTGTGGGCTCGGTATGGTTCGAGTTGACGACTGCATTTTCCACACTTTGACTGTTTGATGGTCGTTGCTCCTCTCCGTTCTGAAACTTGAGGCCTTTCGATTCAAATTCATTTTCAAGCGATTCCTCCAGAGCAGCATGGGCCTTTTTCAGATCAGCCAATACTGATTTGAAGGCCTTTAAGTGTCTGTAACTTACTGCACTGGCTTCTTGGCCTTTTGATGTTTGCTGGAGGAACTGTACAAAAGTACGATTCAAACCATTTGTGGTCTCAATTAGTTTTTTGGTCTTTTTGACAAGCTCTTTCGGAACTGTCAATGTCTTACAGGAAAAGGTTAGAGTTCCTGCTCCATCAGAGGCATAATCCTGTCCATTTACAGCAGTTTTTTCTCGTTTCACATGCTTGTGTTTGCGCTCTTCACGCTTTGTCTTGTCGTGTTCTCCCTTAGGTTTTCTAGAAGAGGATTCAAGATTGAGCAAAACTTTCTCACAAGTTTTCACATGATCTTGCAGTGGCTCTGGGCAGCAAATATAGCAGTGCCATTTGCTTTGTTCACTCATTATTTCAGACAGCTCTTTTCGTCCAAGGTTCCGCAAGATGCATTTTTTGCAGAAGGCATTGCTACAGTAGTCGCAGCACATCAGATTACCACCTTCTGCACACCATCTGAAAAAGAAAATAAAACCATGCCATCAATAATTTAGAACTGGATTGTTTAAGAACTTTGAAACTAACCAGGATTTTCAGGGTAATAGTAAAATTTGAAATATTAATAAAATGCATTAAAAAGATGGAAAAAAAACAACTTTACTACATTATATATAGGACAGTAGTGTCAAGCATTATTTGAATAAGTACACTGAACATAGTCACAATTTCTACATTCATTTTAAATATTTTTTTTTATTTTGAGTGTTGACACTGTTTCATTGCTCTGGTGTTTTTTATTAATGTTTTTAACTTATTTTTTGACTGCAGCCTGCTTTTTTAAATAAATGATTGGAAACCAAACTTATCCTGATCTAATTTAGTAGTACATTTTAGGGATGCACGATATGTCAGCGGTTATCGGCCGATTAATGCTATTTTTTATGTTATCGTTATTGGTCCAATGTCAAATTTAGGCCATTATCTTTAAGCTAACAGAGTACTTAATTGTACAGAACTGCCTGCCTCCTACATGCGTAGGTCGAACCTTTTCAGAATTCTCCAGTGCACTGTAATGGAGCTTTCCTCACATTGTTTATTACTTTAAAGTCTGTCCTTTCTTTGTGTGGTATTGCTGTGTGTTAACAACTCGGTAAGTAACCATATTCCTTATCGTTGTCGTTATGTTTGATAGAGTGTCGTTGTTTATTTTGGTTTAAATCTTTTCAGGAAAAATATTACATGTGTAAACATTATAGCAGTGTTACACACATGCTAAACAACTCATTGGATTGTTTTTAATCGAATAGGATTATTTGTTATTATCAACACTTTGCTTGCCATGTGTTGTTGATGTAAGATTGTATTTAGTTTGATCAGCATATTTACAATGATTATAATGAGCGTATATATCAGCACGCACACACATAGTGAGCCGACTGACTCCACTTCGCATGCACACGCATCACACAGCGCCTGCAGTTAATGTCTCAAACTCACATCATTTTATTATAAACCTTTCATTGGTCATTTTCCTGCAATTGACAGCAAGAACAAACATAGAAGCATTGTCTTGATTGACAAGCAGCACCTACATGTGTTCAAAAGAATCTAAAACACTAAATGGGAAAAAATTTATGCCACATTTTCTAAAATAATACTATCTGTATTTAGCTTTTTGCTTGTTCAGTGGCTTTGAGCGGTCAAAACACCTCTCAAAATGCTTTTTTAACCATTACATATTTGTACATACAGTATGTACATTACGGTAATACGCTTTATTGATTTGAGCTGGTTTCAGTTCTTGGTTTTTTCATTTTCATTTTATTTAAATTATAATTATTACACTTGTTTCATAATTAAATCCCATTTTGTTATTTAACCTATACATTTTTATGCAGCGGTCAAGTTGCATGTTAATTTGCTATGCGAAAAAAAGCAAATCATTTATTTTAGACATGCTGATTTACGTGAAATCGTGAATATAGGTTTATTTAATCATCTTGCAATTTTCAAATGATTGTGTTTTTTTTATTGCTTTCAGCAAGCTATGCAGTTCATAAGATCAGTTTAAACTTTATTAAGTTTTTATAATAAAACTAATTTTTACTCTATAAAAAAAAAATTCAAATTATTTATATTTATTGGCTTTAGTATATTGGTTATTGGCCTCCAGAGTTATTGGTTATCGATATCGGCCAAAATATCCATTTGGTGCATCCCTAGTATATTCATTAGAATAATAATTTTTGCAGCTATATTAAAGGGGTCTTTACCCAAAAAAAACAGCCTTCGTTTACTCATGATTCACTTGTTCAAAACCTATTTAAGTTTCTTTCTTGTTGAACACATTATTTGAAGCTGATGGGTACAAGCAACCAACATTGTTCAACATATGTTCTTTTGTGGGTAACAGAAGATAGAAAAACTTATCAAATTTTAAAACCAGTTTTAAACATTATTTTTGGGTGAACTATGCCATTAATATTGTTATTGGGGAAACAAAGTTAAATGTATACAGATTATAACAGCTAATATGTTTGTATAATCACAGATGTAGTGACAAAAGCCAACCTGCACTGTTCATCCATGCCTTCATCATCCTTGCTGATATCATCACTCATGTAATATTTGAAACATGACTGGAAGAAAAAAAGGTATGCATGTTAAATCACAAAGACACAAGAACAGAAGTGGCTGTAACAAGCTATTCTGGTTCCTACCTTGCAGATAAGAACATGAAGTGCTGGATGTTGAAAGATCGAATCCTTCTGAAAGTGATTGACTTGCTGTCCACATGCTGTACAATTGAATATTTCCTGGAGCTGGTCGTCTACAAGACATTAAAACATAATTAAGATAATAAAACAACCTTATTGCAAGACCACAGCTCTTTAATATTCTTGTGGTTTCTCTCAGTCCCAATGCTGCACACTGTATGATAGTTGAAATAAACTAATTTTGTGCATGAGCACTGAACTGATCAAGCAATTTTAATCACATTTATAAAATTAAGCAAGAGATTTTGAGGGTACTTCAAAAGCAGGACTAAGCAATAGACTTCTCTGAGAGATGGGAAACTACACCGTAAAAAAAAATCTTGCTGCCTAAAATTTTCTAGTCGAGTCAAATAAACTATTCAAGTCATCTCAACTCACATCAGTCAAACTAACAAAAAAAATTAAGTTTAACTTTGACTAAAAATATTTAGTTGAAACCTGTTTAGCTAAAAAAAAGTGTTAAAAGTAACATAGAAGCTTTTGTTTTATGAGTTTATGTAATGAAATGCTTGAGCAGCAGGGAAATATACTGCAATAATCACAATATATGACCTTATTTTGATTATTTAAGATAAACTAACATCCTATAGATCTTAAGATAACCTAGCCATAAAATTATCAGAATTCATGAAGGCAATTAAACAAATTTGGTGGTAAATGTGTACTTATCATCAAGCCATAGACCAGGGCTATTCTATTGGCAGCCCGAGTTTGTTTCAGGCCTCTAAATAGTGTAAACAAGACATCCAAAATAAATATAGTTTAGTCGAAAAATGACCGCATATACAGCATAAGCTGCAGAGGCTGCGCAGAGCGCTAGTGACCATAAGCGAGTGGTGCAGACAGCCGAAAACATTTGGATATGTTTTGTAGAAAATGCCTTTTGTACAATGCACTGTAATCATTAATAGGGATGCATCGATTAGTTGATTTCACTATTAACTGCGCTTTAATTCGTCACGGTTAATTAATCATAAAGCAGGCGTGTCCAAACTACGGCCCGCGGGCCATCTGCGGCCCGCAATCTGTTTTGTGGCGGCCCGCGAGGCTTTTTATAAATATCAATAGAATCTGGCCCGCTATACAAAAATGAACGTGATTCAATAAATAACCACCGGGTGTCGCTATTACATGCCTTCAATTAAGCAGCAGTTCTTGTTATGATATCTACCTATCTATCTACACACAGTTGAAGTCAGAATTATTAGCCCCTCTTTGATTTATTTCTTCTTTTTTAAATATTTCCCAAATGATGTTTAACAGAGCAAGGACATTTTTACAGTATGTCTGATAATATTTTTTCTTTTGGAGAAAGACTTTTGTTTTATTTCGGCTAGAATAAAAAACGGTTTAAATTTTTTATGAACCATTTTAAGGTCAAAATTATTAGCCCCTTAAGTCTTCAGAACAAACCATTGTTATAAAATAACTTGCCTAATTACCTTAACTTGACTAGTTAACTTGATTAACCTAGTTAAGCCTTTAAATGTCACTTTAAGCTGTATAGAAGTGTCTTAAAAATATCTAGTCTAATATTATTTACTGTCATCATGGCAAAGATAAAATAAATCAGTTATTAGAAATAAGTTACTAAAACTAATATGTATAGAAATGTGTTGAAAAAAATCTTCTCTCCGTTAAACAGAAATTGGGGAAAAAATAAACGGGGGCTAATAATTTAGGGGGGCTAATAATTCTGACTTCAACTGTATTTATATATATATATATATATATATATATATATATATATATATATATATATATGCGTGTCTGTGTGATGTATGTAAAATTTGGCCCGCGACAACGTTTGTTTTTTTGCATCTGGCCCTCGGCCCAAAAAGTTTGGACACCACTGTCGTAAAGGCTTCTCTAAGCCGCATTTCTTTTGCACGGAAAAGATATGACAAGTTGCCAACTGTGCGCTAGTTCCAAGCATGTACACCAAGGATAATGTGCACGCACACCAGATTAACTATAGCAGTGGTCGTTCCCATATTACGTCTTTTCCGCTTGCAGGACTGTGATTTCTAATGTAAGAACGACAATATGCGCGCACAAGTGGAGCAACGCATTTGCCTCTTTCCGGGCGCACGCAGTAAAAATCATCTCACGGTGAGAGTTGTGCGCGGCTTTCAGTGCAATGAAACAAAAGATATGTTAGAAGAATTATTATTAAAATGATTATGTAAGCATGAACCCAGATGATAACAACAGTTAATCTAAATAGCCTCTTCCCTAATATAAAGCTTGTTGTTCTAAATTACATTAGACGTGATAACCGTGAAACCCTAATTATTCTTCAGACTATATCTTACAACCAAAATCTATAATGTTGCATCACTAATTGTTATGCTGTAAAAACATAACATATGAGTGTGTCTGAATGTAGAAAAATCCTACTTCAGCAATGCACTGCTTTTGTTGTGCGAAATACAACATTTTTAATGTTTGTAAAAAAAATTGAAAAAGTCAATTAGACAATGCAGTTGTTTTAAAATACAATATATTATCATTTTAGTGTAGACAAAACCAACATGGGTGTCTTTATGAGCACAAATACAGCATATGGGCTCTTATATGTAGTTGTGGCATCACTCGCACAGCAAGACATATCTATACGGCCCTTCGTTTGGGATGCCTTTCATGAACCGGCCCCCATGCCAAACTAATTGAATAGCCCTGCCATAGACAAATACTTCTTTTCAAACACCTTCCATTCTTTTTAAACAAATACAAGAGGTTTAAAGGGAAAAACATAGATATTTTAAAGTGAACAAGTTGCTGAGATCTTTACAGGGTTAAGTGAAAGTAAAAGACCATTATGTATTAAATGTAATACAGGCTAGACACTAATGATTATTTCTAATGGCCTGGTAGGACCAATGGATTTTATTTATTTATTTTTTTCTTTGCTTGCCACAAAAAAAAAAAAAAACTTAATTATTTCTTAGTGACATACTTTAATGTATCAAAAGAAGAAAACTCTAGTTGTATACTTTTTTTCTACATAATATTAAAATGACAAGTTTAACATTGTTAAAAGTATATTTATTGTGATGCCAATTCCATAAATAATCAAAAAAACTAAAAAAAGGCCCACATTGATTGAGTATAACTTCTATTCAACCTAATGCATTTCTGTTATAAAACTCTAGATTTCATGCCTATTTATTAATATTATGTTTATCCCCTCTTTTGTAAATAGTTTTTGCATGAATGGAAGATAATGTTAATAGATATTTTGCTCTGTTGTTATTATGAGGAACTGTCTAAATGTTTTTAGTTTTCTATTCCTTGGAATTAGGGAGTTTAATTTAGGAAAATTGCTGTAATAAATGTCTAACAGCTCTTGTAAATTGTATCTCTTTGCAATAAAAAACTCAAATATAAACTTAAATATAAAAAAAAAGGATTTTATTCAGATGAATTGCTGGTGATTGGATGGATGTGGACCAAACTGGATAGCTTTAATTGAACAGGAAATTTAAGACAGAAAAAAAAATGATTTAAGATGATTTAAAACGTACAACACAATATTTTTGTAAAGTTAAGACTTTAAGTTTTGTTTTTGAAATTTAAGACATTTTAAGACCCGGACACCCTGCTTTATTTTGGTATGTTGATGTACTTCTAACTGAATATGAATATTGAGTACTTTATATATTGAGCAAACTAATGCTAAGAGGGGCGTGGTTAAGAATATTTTGACTAAAGCCCGTAAAACTGATGTCAACAGACAAGGACCATCACTTGGATCCGGGTCCAAGCGCTCTATTCAACTGAATGGGGAGACTCATGAAATGGTACTAATAAACGTTTACAAAGCGATTTAAGGCTTTCGAAAATCACGATCGCAGTACATATGTCCATGCCTAATATCCGATGCCCAGAAAGTGATACATTTTTTATAAATTGCTAAATTTTTGGTATTTGTTATGCAGCAAGCCCAGAGATTGTTGTGCACACTATGATTTTATATAAAATAAACTTTAATGTGTGATAGGAATAAAACGTGATCATAAACAAATGATTTCTCCACTCAAATGAATGGCGGCTTGGACCCGGAAACAGTATACATACGTCACAAACACGTCACCACTTAACAAGCGGATAACTTTGATTGAAGATCAACAAAACAAACTTTTTTTTTTTAGGTGGATTAATTGTTTACCTAAAAAATAACAATGTGTGGTAGAAAAATAAATACATTTTGATTTTACAGACTTTAACATAAAAAACAACTATAATATATACTTAATATATTAATTATATTAAGTATCTTTAACTATACTGAAATTTAAATTACTTTAAATCAACTCACCAGGACGTTTCCGCGCACCCTCTTCTTTCGCTTTGCCTCCCTTGTTACGGAACTCAGGACCTCGGAATTCATCTTTAGTTTCATTAGCAACTGGTTCTGGCTTCACCACTACTGTGCCTGCAAAATGTGAAGCCAGGATATTCAGTGTGCATCTTAAACAAACTGCTAAGGAAGACTGATCGGAACAGAGGACTAACCTTGTGGCAGCTTGCTAATATCCAAACTGCTCTGCATGCTGTCATCTGCGCAGGGTTCACCTCCACTCTCATTCGCACATTCAGATTCATCTAAGGCAGTGTGCTTGGTCACAAATGATGGTTTTCTTTCATTCAAAATAGAATAAAATTGGTTATTAGACTATTCCAGTTAATATCCTCAATGTATCTGCTCTAAACGTTTTATAACCTAATATCTACAGCTTTCCCCAAACAGCACAATTCCCATGAAAATGAAACTGCAAGCATGAAATTGATATTAAATGAATACCACTGAAATGAATAATTAGTTACGATGCACTTATTGAGTAAATACATGTTTTCACACTATAGTTCTGCTTGATTAAATACCTGCATGTAATTATATCTGTAATTACATTTAGAATTACACTACACATCACAACCTGCCCATATGACCAAATCATTCCCTAAAAATACCAGTATCCCACATTAAGACTGAAACGCATTATAACATTGCTGATGTCCCCATTTATTTACATCAAAATATAAATGCAATGTATTTAATGTGTTCATAATGTCATCGTTTACAATCTCCTTGTAATACTTGTGTCATGTCCATGTCATTTTACACATCCGAACTGATATAGCACAAAACAAATACACGCACACACACTCGCACGCACGCACGCACACACAAAAGTAATCGCTTTAGTCCAGCTCATTCACTGGAAAAATATCCCAACTCACCTCTTTGAGCGTGAAGACGAAGGTTTGGTAATTTCGGAGGAGCAACCAGGCTAAGAAAAATAAATAAATAAATAAATAAATGTAGTGACATTAAATGCACACTTTACTACATCCTACTGTTTTACAACAAGATAATAAACACATTGGGCCTTATTTATTTATCCAACGTAGAAAGAAGTGGAGAACTGAGCACACAAGTCAAACTTATGACAAGGTTCATGTGATATTCATGAAATGTGGACAGAAACCTATTGTATGGACGATTGTTGATGTTGATAAATGTGGTAACTGAAAACTATTTGATCCTTGCGTTTGTCATCAAAGCAACACGACTACACTTAAACTACATTTGCGCATGCGCCAAGAACTTTGACCAGACCATGGACTAAAGCTAATAATATAAATAATGTTTAGATTCTTACACAGAAAGATTGTTCTGCTTAATAAGTCCTCAGTCTGTCATCAGGAGCCATGGCTTTTGATTTGGACTTGTTTGCATGTTTTCATTTTTAAACTCAAAAGACTGCAACCATTCACTGCCATTATAAAGGATCACCTATTTATCATCTTCTTTAATGTTCTACCGAAGAAAGAAAGGCTTTTACATCGTGTAGGTAAGTAAATTAAGAGGAAATTTACATTTGTAAGTAAACTATCCTTAAAATATTCAGTTTATGACATTGATAAATGTAATCCGGCCAGAACTTCTCTAACCACTGATCTTTGCAGTTCAGGTGAACCAACAATGGCAGCTCCATGACTTTTTGGTAAAGGGTCACAAAACACTAAAACACATTTTTTGAGCAGTTGACAGTCGTATATGTGTCCAACACTGCTAAAAAACACTATTAGGACACAAATATTTCACCAAAAAGTGAAAATTGGTTGTTTTTGCGATATAGAGCAAGTTCGTATGCGTCACGGCCATGAGATCTTAGCATGTATTCCAGCGTATAGACTGGACGTCTGTACCTGGGAGTACCGTATTACGTGTCCGAGTGTGCTGCATTAATGCATGAGTAAGAGTTGGTTTAAATCAATCACCGCGCTCTATTGTGCAACTTCATTAATATTCACTAATGTTACAATGTCCAGACGGCAGAGAGACGCCACACTGTGTTTCCAAAAGAAGCGTGCAGTGTTGCTTTTATAATTTGCTGCAGTGCAGGTTTCGTTTTCCTTTTCACTCTATGAGAGCGCAGCTGGACTCACGTGTGGATCAGCGCATGCAAAGCGAGACAGAAATTTTCTCATCTGCAAATAGTAAGATCCGGATTTGCTGCTCGTCTCCTCTTAATAAAGGCGCGATTCTAGTTGCTGTTAATTGTCCTGTCTCCACAGATTTGGTAAGTGAACGACCAGTGGTCTTTGTTTATTCAAATGACAAAGTTAGTTTGTATCAAACTAACTATTACACTGAGTGTAAACTTGTTAGCACCACAATCAAACTATTACCGTCGTGTAGGATTTTCACCGCATTTTGTGACCAGAATAACACACAATAACACGCGGCTTTCTGATGCTACTTGCCGAGTGCATCTAAGTTTCTGGGAAATGCGGAGGTTTTTTTTTCTCTCATTCGCCGTGTGGTATCAAACACTGCATGAAAAATACACGCTTAGAGCAGTTCCTCGAATCAAATATCTCGTTTGTCACGAGGGGCATGAATGCAATTCCTGAATGAAAGAGCCAAACTGCAGTAAAGTCCACCATTTAATAACTTGTCAAAAAATTTGATTACTGATGTCCATGTAAACACAGTCACTTTTTCCCCTGTGTGTGTGTGTGTGTGTGTTTTGACTTTGAAAATCAGCGCGTGCCCAAATCGACTCTCCCATATCATCCCTCTTTTGCTCCTCCGACACTCCCCCCTAAACAGAGCTGGATACACCCACTTTCCTGACTTTTTCCAAAGTAGAGGTGTGAAAACACCCTGCTGAAACAAGGGGGTTTCATGGTCCTTTAAGCATGCTACAGGGGGCTTAACAGTTAACACTTAACAAAGGGGTGCTTAAATGAATTCAACTGAGAGAAAGTAATAAACACATCAGCTTAAGCTACTGAAATAGCATGCAAAACCCCCCAACCTTGTAATTGCTTTATATATATACACACACATTTATATAATTACTTATGTAACTTGGTTGTACACACATATACAGTTGAAGACAGAATTATTGGGGGGGGGGTAATAATTCTGACTTTAACTGTATGCACATACCTAACCAGGGCTTGACATTAACTTTTTTGATCACCAGCCACTGTGGCTCGTAGATTTCCAACTGTACTAGCCACTCGCCATTTTCACTAGCCAAAATTTTATTGTTGGGAAAATATATTTTGCTTAAACTTGACTTTGACATGCTAAAATGACTTGATTTAGATGTTGTGTTTTATCCACATGTCTTCTCATTCATTTAACTTCTTATGTGTACCGTGTGTTAGGCCGTACTCACACTGGGTACAGTGGCCTCGAACCGGGCCAAAGCACGCTTGTCCCCCCTCCCGTCTCCCCCGACGGCCCGCTCTCACTTGCTCTCACTCAGCAGCACAGTGGAGATTTCTCTAGTTATATTGCTTCAGTCGTTTGTTATGCAGTGACATGCAGTCAAATATTTTGCCAAACAGTCCTTAGGGATGTGGTGACACGCAGTCAGATATTTCGCAGAACAGATCCGCCACTTTTGGTGATCATAAACAATCATAAAGCTCTTGTGCTGCAGGAATGAGGAGGTCTGCTGAAGCCGCGCAGCTGTCGTGCTGTGTGGGTGCACGATCATCGCTCTTTATTCAGTCTATTTCAAAGGGAACCAATCGCACCCATTACGCTTCTTCTAGGCACAGTTGCTTTGCACAAGTAAACAGGAGCGCACACGCTTTTTAACAATCGCGCACATCACATCAGCTGTTAGCGTGAGTGATCATGCTCTAATTCTGTATTCACCGTTCTTTTGCTCGCGCGAACAGTTCTTTTTTTTTTTTTTTCAGTCGTTTTGCTTCTTGATTCTAATATCACATTTGCACGAATATTGTGCCATGCTTATTGTCGAACTCTGCTTTTAAGAAAACTACATTTTAAAAATGATTTCCAGTGGAGGTGTCTGTACAACCCACCAGAGCTGAAATCTACCTGCATTTGGCGGGTGTTAATGTAAAGCCCTGTACCTAACACATACCATGCATTGAGATGGCATCATTCTTTTTAAAAATTCCTGTTGAGAGTGATTACACAGAAGCGATAATGGCTGTGTTTTCAAAAACATGGCCTTTAAATACTCATTTTCTTAATTATTTGTTTTCAGTCCCCAAAAATGCTTTAAATGTTTTAGGATGAAAACCTTGCCATGTAAATGACCACTTAGTCAGGCCAAAGCCATTTTAACAGGACTCAGGGAGTACTAAAAACTGCATAATGCTGGATACTTGTTACAATGCAGCTGGACAGGATAGAGTTATAGTAAAAAGTACAGATAAAAAAAAAAATAACAACACATACCTCGTTCATCTTCTCATCAGCAATATTTACGTCATTGGTTGCCATTTTACCTGAAATTGAAGAGTACAAATTAAAATAGTACATTATAACTATAGTTTGCAGTTACAGGTTTGCTAAACAGTAAAAATTAAGCCCCTTTAAAAAAAAGTTATATTTTATATAACATCATAATACTGTGCTTCAGGGCTATGCAACATTGATTAGAACTATCTTGATATATTTGAAGATTTTTTTGGTAACTGTTTAGATGCTCTTTTGTTTTGTTCTGGTACTATGACTGATTTAAACTCTCGAACACATTCATGTCAGCCGCAGCTTATCTTAAAGAACCCCACCAAAATTTCATCCAAAACATACACCCTTTATATACATAAAAAAAATAATAATAATAATAAATTTTAAGTTCTGCAACATTATTTAAAAAATTTTAACTTGCAAAAAAAATAATCAATAAAATCGACCCATGGTTTATGGCAAAAAACTAAAACGATACCAAGTAGAAAGTGTCTGAGACTTCTGAGCTAAACAGCACCCCACAATTTCACAAAGTAAAACTGTGGTGAAAACGTGAAGTGCAGCCCAGTCCTATTGAGATCCATGATTCGAGACTGCCAAGCTCATTTTTACCTTACATGAACCTCACTCCAAAACAATATGACATCAAGCTGTTCATCTATGAGTCTGCAACAAGCTGGCATCTGTTTTTCCCCTTCCGATGTTGAGTAGTGCATAACAATAATAAAGCACAAATCTTTAAATGAGATCATGTGAAAAGTGTTTTATGCTTCTTTATCGAGTTTGTTCTGAGAATAGACATATTTTCTATTTTATTTGTGATCTATTCCACTGACTTAATGCACATGCAGGTTGCCAGATTGATAACAGCAAATAAGAACCAGCATTACACTTTGAGTTAATGTAATGTACACATTTGCCCAATTTATATTGATCGCAAAAAACAAACAACCTCATGTGGATTTGCCTCTGAATCTATGTCATTTTGGAGGATTGATAGTCTTCTAGAGGTTGCATTTGTCAAATTATAATCATAATCAAGTTAACGGTTAAATATACTGTTGATCTTACAGTTTTTTTGGGTAGATGCTAAAGCTTTTTAGAATGTTTAGAATGTTAGATCTCTGACTCTAACCACTTTCGTTTGGCAGCTTCCATGACTGAAATGAAATACACTGCGCTTTTCACTAAGTCAACCCGGGGTGCCAAAACCCAATTGGTTCAACTGGCTGTGGGCGGGGTGACACAGATCAAAAACAAAAGAAAGACATTTAAACATGAAGTGTGTATTTTTAAAGGAGAATAACAATAGTGATGTTTTTCAGATAACCATTTAGGTCAACTAGGCATATTGCTTAAATATCGGCAAACATATGATGATATTTTTTTTGCTTTAGAAAAAAAAGTCATTAAAACTTAGTCATTAAAACAGTCATAAACATACAATGAATCATTTGGTTAACCAATTTGTTCAAAATATGAAAAAAAAAAAAAAAGCAAGAGACCCTCTTTATGGGATTGCTGCATGATTAATAAGTTTCTAAATTAATTATCAATATTGTGTCATCAATAAAACTGTCACATCCTCAATTGTTCAGACATTATAGGTGAAACAGCAATCCTGATCAATCAATACTTTGGTAAAAAAAAAAAAAAAAACTTATGGAACAAAATAAAAGACAAACTTGTGTGCAACAAAATCGATTTCAGCTTGCACAGTTGCAAAATTGAGGTAAAGTTAGCTTTATATTCGGACATTCTGCCTTTCTCATTAATAATGTAATTTCAAAAAAGTATAATTTACAAATTCTGAAAAGGGAAATCATATTAGCAGCTCGTTCACAGTCAATTAAATATTGCTCATGTTGTTTTTAAGTCATAATTACATGGGGTTTCAGACCGAATATTTAAAGTAGCGTGGTAAATAATATGGGGACCATTAAAATGAACGAATGTGTGAATATTAAACCAATTTTACTTCAATTGTTGCAAAAATATTTTATGATCACAGATCATACTGCACAGCCCCATGAACAAAAAAAGAACTATTTATTCAATAAGATGGTTTTAATTGAGTAAAATATTTAGACATGTTTAAATTAAAGTATTATTTAAAATGTAAAAAAAAAAAAACAGAAGGATTTTTATTAATGTTTAATTTTTAAGTGGTATAAAATTTACTTTAAGAGTTTTTAAGGCTCTGTGGTAATCTTAAACTATTGAACACAAAAATGCAAAAAAATAATTTGAGGAATTTGAGAAATGTCACTTTAAGCTGTATAGAAGTGTCTTGAAAAATATCTTGAATAATATGGTCACATATTATTTACTGTCATCATGGCAAAGATAAAATAAATCAGTTATAAGAAATGAGTTATTAAAACTATTAAGTTTAGAAATGTGTTGAAAAAAAAACTTCTCTCCATTAAACAGAAATTGGAGGGAAAAAAATAAACGGGGGCTTATAATTTTGACTTCAACTGTATACGTTTACACAAAAATATTCAGTCATAAAATAATTCTAAACAACGCCTCCTGTCTTTATCAGCTGTGTTAACAAGTCACTCTCACCACTGGAAATGTCTTGAGAATCAATGCTTTCGATGTCTGGAGAATGACCCAAGAACTCATGAAGTTTAGTCACCAATGTATTCAGTTTACTTGACCTGAAACACAAGATATGTATAAAGATGTATATAAGATGTATATGTATATACAGTTAAACATTTAACATAGAAACTGCTGTTGAGTGTAAACTGTTTATCTACTTATTAACTGAAATATGATTAAATTTGTGTAGGTATAACGTTAAAACGTCTTATTTATGAGCTAATAGGACAAATAATTAACGTTAATAATTAAAAATATCAATTTATTTTTTGTTATTTTTTTTACTTACATATTCTTTGTGGATGTCTCTGAATGAGTGTGTGACGGATATCGATTACACTGGTGTTTGAGAGTTGATTTGAAAGGGCCTCGAGTAATAAAAAAAAAATCTCAGAACAAAGCCCATACAAAAAAAAAAACCCAAACCGGAAGCGACGCGACCTATATCACAGCATGTAGAGGTTTCTTGGCATTTGGGACAAGTCAATTGGTTATAATGATGCCGTCACGAAACCAAATTTAGATATGCTTTAACATACATAAAACAAATGACAATACATCAACAATTACACAAAAAAGAAAGCAGTTCGGAGCGAGGGGAGTGACTGAGGTGATTTCGGGCGCCGCGGTATTTTTGATTGACAGATGGCGTCATCACGGAGCCCGTCTCCTATTAGCGCGTAACAACAGCCGGTAACAGGACGGAAGACACGCACTGATAAGGGCTAACATAAACAAACCAAGCTCGTACCTGCCATTAAACTTGAGCAACATCCCACAAAACCAAATTCATTGTGAGTGAGACAATAGAGGTGAAAAATCAAAGCGTGTCACAAAACACTAATGAGGCTGATCATAATGTTTTGGCTTCTTGTGTGACAGACTGTTATCCACTGATTCACCTTCGATACATAAGTCGATATCATAAGTAAACACAGCAGAGACACGAAAAGAACATACAATTAACCTTAATATTGCTAATTACGGGTGTTTTGGTGAAGTGCTGAAAATTTGCTGAAGAAAGGCCTAGTTCTAGCATATGCCCAGTGCACCCATATAGCTGCCGGAGATGCACAATGGAGCAAAAATTGAAACTTACTGTAAAACTAACGCAACACGCGTCATTAGGATCTCAATCCGCATAAAACAATCTTATGACGCCACTCAACTGTTTCCAGGACTAAAGCATGCATTTGCAATGTGCACAAACGCATGCACATATTACCCGGCTAACTTACATCCCTGCACTTACCTCAAGATCTCTATGCTCAGGTCACGCGCGGATCTTTAAGGAGTCTCCAATTTGGCACCGATAGGAAGGGTGTTTTTCTGTGCGATCCGGTCAAATTCATGTATGTGAATTTTGTGAAATTTGTTTTATGCCGATCGGAGCAGACAAAGCGAGAGCGCCATCTTGCCGGATGGCTGGAGACGCGCTAAAATGGCGCACGCGAGACTCAACTCATCTGCGCGCGCGCTCTCTGAATGCATTGAACGAGACTATACACACACACACATGCACCAGAGCAGTTCACTTCACTTTCATTATGACAGTGCGTGCCCTAAATTCCTGGTCACTAAACCTATTTTAAAAATAACCTGAAAGATTGCATATGGAAGAATTTCATGTATATAATGCTACATATATGACAGTAGAAAGGGAAAGTATAGCATGAGCTCTATGATTGGATTCCGGACACATGCTTGTTGTACCGGCGCGCTATATAGATGATGGGTATAATTAACGTCATGTATTTTCCTTATTTTAATTTTACGTCCCCAGTATCCCCATGCTTTTTATACATTCATCATGATTTAGCCTTTGCACTTGATACACACTCGTAGTCTGTACTACATATAGAAAACATGCATGTGCAGGGAAGGATCCCGTGTTCTCCGGTACATGCGTCCTCGTGCATCCTCAGTAGTGCACATACCTGCAGATGTCGGTGGTCATCTCGTCGCCTTCATATACCTGCAGCTGTCTCTAAAAGTAATGCTCGCAACTGCTTGTATATACGTTTATTTTTTATTTGCTCGACGTAGTCGCAGGAATGCTTGATATTAAACAATGCCAGGATCCATGTTGCTATGGTGGAGCTCCATCCAGCTGATTGGCTCGTTTCATCCCATAACCGTAAAGCAGGAAAATAAAAGCCTTGCTCTGTAGATTTGTTCGTTTTAGATCTTTAAAATGACTCCAGATTTTGGAGAATTGACAATCAATACAAATACATAAACTAAGAGGAAACCAAGCTAATTTTATTTTGAAGCAAATATCAAAAACAAAGACGTTCATTACATCTGACTGAAGAAAAAACAACATGATTATGCATGATCACTGGAAGTTTAAACGAAAGCTCTTCTCTTGCTCCTTGCTGCGGCTCTCACACAACTTTGAGACCTCCTCCACTCGCCTCTGAAGTAAAACTGCACATAAGCAAATGTATGCAAAGGATTCAATGAAACATTCCAAAAAAGACTGTGTAGCGAAATATGTATCGAATTTAAGTGGATACTGACCTGAATTTTGCTCCACCCATTGTAAGGAGTCCATGTGTGCATTGAGAATTTTGCAGATCTGCTGAAGCTGGAAAAAAAAGACACCACAAGTCAGTCTTGGTCCAGGTAACAGCATTGATTTTTTACAAATATAGATTATATTGTGCATACCGGGTCAGCAGTGTCAGCGGGTCCACTGGAGGTGTTGAGGTGTTCAATAATCTCTTTTAGATCTTGGGACATTCTTTTGAGTTGAGCATCCACATTTTCAGCCAACTTGTACCTGGATAAAAGATTATTAGTATTTGAAGAAAACGTGAGCTTCTGACAGGGTTGATTGACACTACATTTACACTTTTTTTGTTCATTTAAACTTTTGTTTTGATTATGTCTGGCATCCACATAACTCCAGAGTACATGTAGACAGATCGGAACTTATGACAATGAAGCTGTTTACATTCACTCCCTAATTAGGTCTTCTGGATTTCAATTAAATATCAATTCAAGACCCTGAGGGCGAGTTAAACTTTATGTGATAAGCCTCAAGTTCAAGGAAGTGGTTTAAAATCAATAAAGTAGATTCTGTAGAAAATTTTAAAATATCAACATGGTTTTTTTTACTGTGTGTACAAACATTTAAAAGTAAATCCCAATATAGTTTAAATGTTTTACATTTACCAGTATATATAATTAAAAGCTTCTTTTCTATTAAAATATTTGGTTTGCTAAACCTTTTAAAACAAATATATAAATCTCAAATGAGAGGTTAGTTTAGCTTTAAACACAACCACCGGCCACTTTATAAGGTATACCTTACTAGTAGTGGACTGGCCCCCTTTTTGCCTTTAAAACTGCTGTAATCCTTAGTAGCATAGATTCAACAAGGTCCTGGAAATATTCCTCAGAGAATTTGGTCCATATTGACATGATAGCATCATGCAGTTGCTGCAGATTTGTCAGCTGCACATCCATGATGCAATTCTCTTGTTCCACCACATCCCAAAAGTGTTCTACTGGATTGAGAGCTGGTAATTGTGGAGGCCATTTGAGTACATTGAACACATTGACCTCAATGTCATGTTCAAGAAACCAGTCTGAGATGATTCACACTTTATGACATGCCGTGTTATCCTGCTGGAAGTAACCATCAGAAGATGGGTACACTGTGGTCATAAAAGGAAGGACATGGTCAGCAACAATACTCAGGGAGCCTGTGGCGTTGACACGATGCCTAAATTTTTACTAATGGGCTCAAAGTGTGTCAAGAAAATGTCCCCCACACCTTTACACCACCAGCAGCCTGAATCGTTCATACAATGCAGGATGAATCGATGTTTTCATGTTGTTGACACCAAATTCTGACCCTACCATTTGAATGTTGCAGCAAAAATTGAGACTCATCAGACCAGGCAACGATTTTCTAATCTTTTGTTGTCCAATTTTGGTGAGTGAATTGTAGCCTTTCCCGTTCTTTGCTGACAGGAGAGGCAACCAGTGTGGTCTTCCGCTGCTGTAGCCCATCTGCCTCAAAGTTCAACGTGTTGTGTGTTCAGAGATGCTCTTCTGCATACCTCGGTTGTAAAGAGTGGTTATTTGAGTTGCTGTTGCCTTTGTATAAGCTTCAACAAGGCATTTGTGCCCACAGAACTGCCGCTCACTGGATATTTTCTCTTTTTTGGACCATTTTATGAAACCCTGAAGATGGTTGTCCATGAAAATCTCAGTAGATCAGCAGCTTCTGGAATACTCAGAACAGCCTGTCTGGCACCAACAACCATGCCACATTCAAAGTCACTAAAATCTCCTTTCTTCCCCATTCTGATGCTCGGTTTAAACTGCAGCAGATCACCTTGACCATGTCTACATGCCTAAATGCATTGAGTTGCTGCCATGTGTTTAGTTGATTAGAAATTTGAGTTATTGAACAGTTGGACAAGTATACCTAATAAAGTGGCCGGTGAGTGTTTATCCGGGCACATGTTTGTGCCTACTATACAAACTAGACTAGTAAATATTGTTTTAATTTGTTTGTTTTAATTGTATATGACAATACATTTTTGTAGTTTTTAGATTATTACCCTGTTATTTATAACAATAATAATATTAATTACTGCCAACTTAAATGTGCATTTTTCGCTTGACAGAATTTCATAATATGCAAATGTTGTTTGTAATGAATACTTTAATTTAAATTTAATTTTATAACTATAAATACAATCTTTTACTACAATTAGAGTTGGTATATTTTCAGATTATTTAGAGGGTTTCTTCTTAATACAGTTAACTTTAAGGGTTACTGCCAATTAAACCTGAAATTTTTCTCTTAATGCGCTTTAAAACTATGTGTTTAAAATGATTTACAATTTGTAGTGAATATGATTGTATATAGGCTACAATATTGTATTACAATTTTAGATCTAATTTTAGCTTCTGCCATGTGTTTTTAGTTGGTTGGTTTAGTGTGGATGAAGATCTTTTCTGAAATCTCATGAAAAAGCCAATCTGACACTGATTGTTTTCATTTTAAAACAAAAAATGTTAAAATGAAAACACAGCCGGGTAAAAGTGGCCAGACATCTGCCAGTTTATGTTCTTACGTTCTTTCTCGTTCTTCATCTGCGTTCTGCATGTATATGGTTCCACTTTGCTCCTTCACGGACTCCTCTAACGGACTAAGAAGATCCTCCAGCTCTTTCTGCTGGGAAAGGATAAAGTCCAGTTCTTGATCCAGCCTGTGGGAAAAACACAGAAATGTTTTTAACAGTAAGATTACAGCATCTAACAGCAATACAAGCTGTCTGGTTAAGTCCTCCATGAAGACACTGATCATGTTAATGATTTCTCACAATAGTTGTCAACAATGATTTAACAAGGTAGGAAACTAAGTAATATCAATATGCAACACTTCCAAAAATCTCTGCAAGTATTAAAAATTTCAAATGACCACTTCTCCAATATTTTCATTAGCCACTAACAATTTTAGACAAATCATGCACTACAATGTACCATGTTGGTACAAAGGATCAATTGTGTAACTAAATCAACTTTCAGATTTTACTGAAATTTTCATCAAATTGACAGCATTTTTAACATAGCCGACACCTTTCTAACCATTGTAGTCTCCCCAAGTTTGACATTGGAGAGAGTGGAGATTATATTCATTCTAGTCTTTAAGCACTGTCTGAAAAGCCTTGTTTTTCTAAATCAAAAAAAAGTTTAGCTGATGCATTTACATGTAATATGTGGATGCGTGTAAATGTAATATTCTGTAGTGCATTTAGTTATTGCCCAGCAGGCACACAATGTCATAAGATGTTTATATTAGGTTAGATTTAGGTTGTGATGTCAGGTGACCAAAATTAAGTGTCTAAGAGGTGTCTAAGGGCAACATTATTTTGACATGCAATAATGACATCAAATGACGTTGATATTTGGTTGATTTTAGGTTGTTAGAAAGTGACCAAAATCCAACTACAAGCTAACATCTTAAACTAACGTCATAAACCATATTGTCAGGTATGGCAAAAAAAATCCAACATCTGATAGACATTGTGGTAACGTCAACACAACGTCAAGCTGTAACATCCTTAGACATTGATATTTAGTTGGTTTTAGGTTGGATGTTGACCTGACCATTCCCAACCATTTAGTTCTGACATCAACATGATTTTCATATTTAAACTAAATGCAATGTTCCCATGACATTAGGGTAAAACATCAATTTGATGTCTTGTCTGGCTGTTTGAGGCCATTTTGGTCATACAGTAAACATCCATCATCTCCTCGTCAGTGACATGCATCTCTGGGTCAATGCATGTAAAGATTTTGGACATCTTCTTGAACACTTTTAATGCTTCCAAATAGATGGCTGCATTTATATAATCTTGAGGTTGTTCAGTACGATGTGTTTTACCTTCTATGTGTGATTTGATTAAATAGGAATCACAGGACTGAACTTTCTAATACCCATAGACAA